TGTTGTTATTACCGCTTGGGACTCGATTCCCGCACGTGGGCAGGTGACGACCAAAATATTGTGATCTGTATTTATTTATATTAATCTATATAGCAATAGTGATGGCAATATGACTTTACCTTTTTGTTGGTGCTATTGCTACTCTGATTGGTTTGCCTCCCAGACCAGTTACGTTGTTCATTTCTTGGAGTGCTCTTTCTTGGTCTTCTTTACCATAGAATCTGACGAAACCAAATCCCCGCGAGACACCATAGGTGTCTAGTACAACTGAAGTGGAAAGGAGTGTTAGGGTTACAAAGGAAAGACTATGCTAAAACTGTTTTAAAATGACTTTTGCGAAAGACAAATGGATGCAATTTTCAAAAACAATGTATTTAACCTTTTTACCACCTGTTCCCCCTTTTCATCACAAATTTACAAAAATAATACCGATAATAGTCTGCATTTTTCTCAGAAGATTTGTGGGACAAAAAAAGCCAAATTTGTTGATTAAAAAATGAAAATTTACTAAAATTTCGTCTGTTGGCTCGGAAATTAGAGATCATTTCCAGAAATATTGAAGCATACAAGAAAAAAATGCAGAAAAATTTGGATGAGAAAGTCTGGTGATGAAAAGGTTGAAACCTTATCAAACACAGAGTGGTGCAACCAATGTAGTGGAGCAAGAACAAGAGCATTTTTGCACTTATGAAACCCAAGAATATTTGGCTCTTGCGAGGTGGTTGACAGTACAGCACATAAATAAAAGCCTTCACCAAGGCAAATAGGCAGAAATATGGAGTGGCTAATACAGAAAGTGCCTAATACTAGTAACATAAAGAATGCATATAAATATCTAACAAAAAGAAGCTTGTTTCACATTTCTGTTACCATATTTGTTCTATTAATAGCACAAATGCTTGTGTAAATTACAGACTTGTTTCTATTGACAAAATAAGTAATTTTTAAAGATTCAGTATACAGCAAATGTGATTTGGGTTTATACACACTTTTATTGGGGATGGACTTCTAATAAAGCAAATACGGTAATATGAATTAATGACTGACAGGAATTAACAAGTAACTGTTACAGATTTTCTCTTCCCTTACTAGGTTTTAATCATTACATAAATAATGATTTGGCACATGGTTGGTGCTACTATATTCAAATGTTATTGTGTCCTACGAGTTACAGGATCAATTACTTTATAGAAATGCCTTTACGAATGCCATAAGATTCTGAAATAGTAAAACAACTTATAGCACGGTAGCCAGAATTGGGATTTAAGTTTCCACAATTTTAAAACCACTTACCTTTTGCAGTCTTGCAGGTATAGTAACGTCTTGCAAAGAACTCGTGCAAAGTGTAATCATTTACTTCTGGGGTGAGTTCACCGACATATAAATTGTACTCTAGCCTGAAATAGAAAATAAAGAGTTAAAATGCTCCAAGAAAGTTTCCAAACATGCTGGGATTTGAAATAACCTGTTGGCTGCTACCAAGACTTGGCAATTCCATTTGTTTGGTGTGACTTTTGTCTGATATTAAAAATTTACCTTTCAAAGAGGATTGATTGATAAAGAATTCTTATAATTAAATAGGTTATGTTTTCAATTTTCTTCTCAAAAATTCAATATTTGACCCAATAATTTTTTTTTTCACATGACCCAGTGAACGTATAGCAAAAGACAATATATTCACAAAATACTGTAAAACAATCTATTTTTATTGACATTTAATTGTTGATGCGTTGAGAATATTGTATATTCAGCAAGAAATTTTATAACAATATTCCATACTGCAAACGTACTGTATGTCACCTGACATGGGTACAATGTATGAAATTCATGACAAGCAAGTCAGTCGGTGCAAGCAAGCTAACAGTTTAGTCAAAACCAAGGCCACATGCAAATCGTTTCCAACATATCATTATATTGAAGCAATTCAACTGGTGGCGTTTGGAGAAGTGGTGTACACAATAAATTGATGAATGTCAATTTACGACCAATTTCATTGCAACGTCTTCAAAGACCAGCAGGATGACCATATTACCGATAACGACTTTTAATTATGGAAAATATATTTCATCTTATTATTTATAATATTTACAAATATTAATGAATTTTTACAACTTGTTTGAATAACAAGAAAAAAGCACCAGGTACATTACTTTGATATTTGATATGCATAGCAGAAATAAAATACTTAATTTTCACTTGTCAGAATCACTCAGTGAAAATAAAATCCAACGAATACCGTAAAATTCGTAATAGAAGCCGCGGCTTCTATTAAAAAGAAAATGGCTGCCCTCCCCAGGAAAAGTGGTGAAGTCCGGGTGCGGCTTCTATTGAAGCATTGTCTAAAATCTTAAAGTGCCTGCACGCGAAATATGCAGATTAGTTAATGATATGCTAATGAGATGCACGCAAATTCCAAACTGCAACAATGTATGAAGTTTTTACTTTAAATCATGGAGCTACAAATGTTTAAATCAAGGGCAATTTTCAGTGATATTCAATAAATATTTACTCAAGATACAAACCATTCAATAAATACTATATAACATACAAACACACACACACACATGATAGCGGTATAACTCTTTTTGGAGGATGTGGTGGCCCTGAAAAGGGCCGTTTG